TCTTACCGTGTTTTCGACGCAGGAGATCTTCATTCATGGATGTTTTAGGTAGCAGTGGTCTCGATGCTGCAGCTAAAAAATAAGAGATATGGTACAAATTCTTCGGATGAAATTCTCTGTGTATCGAACATAAATCTGATTTTTGACACTGATATCGATAGCTATTCATACTTATCAAAACTTCTCTTCCCACCATTCATTCCTTCAATGTTTCAGTGTTGGCTAAAATTCTTTAAGGTGCAAAATCACAGACATTTTTAAGAAAACTGTAAACTAAATATATTTAACGTTTCGACTCTGTTTACTTTCTTGAGTGTCTTAAAAGATTCTCGTTAAACTTCAGCTCCTTTTTATTGTGAATAATAGTACTAATTAATGTTAGTCTACGCACGTTTCCTCTCGATTTTAGCTGTTGATGGTAAATTAATAATCTGAACATTTTGATCGTTCATGATCAGGCCAGGTTGATTAGACAATATCTAAAAGAAAAGTTTATCTAGTACGATGAGAAAATAAATCTCACATAATATTACCTCTGACATGTATGGACCATTTCCAAGAACAAGTTGGTTATTTGCTGTTGTGAACAATTGCGGATTAACATTAATGACTTTGATTAGAGACGGTGTTGACAGTGTTTCATCCTCGATTGTACCATCCACCTGTTTCGTTAACATTGAATAATTCTCTTTTTGACTCGAATTCATTTTCTGCTGAAATTTAATTCGATCAAATAGTGTCTCATAATCAGTGCTTTTATTCAACCACGATTGAAATTCATTATCATTTATCTGTTTCATATCATTGGTTCCATCTGTTTGAAAATTCAACGTGATACTTTTACTATCATCATCATCATCATCCAGAGTAGGAACGAGATTTAAAGCTGACTGAATTGTATTTGTAAACGATGTAGTGGGCAACAAGGGTGCTGGAGCAAATGAAAGAGGTTCGTGTGTATCAAATGATGAAATTTTAACTAAAACGAAACAAAGAACATGTATAATTTATTTATTTGTTTGAACAAATAGAATAGACAACTATTTGAATATTTATCATATTGGCCGTGCTCATAAATTGTCTTTTACTTTCTATTTTTACACTTTAGATGTAGAGATTGGTGAAAAAGTGCAAGAAATATATAATACTACTCACATGGACAAATTCGTTCAAAGTAGGATGTTTTATTCTGTTTACATTTCATTGTTAGTTCTAATGTAATAGTCATGTATTTTAGGATATCGTCGGATTTTTGCTGTAAACGATAATATAACACTCGTTCATATCGTTTAGAATCTAAGCAGGACATTAATTCATCGAATTGTTCTTTGGTTGAATAATATCGAATATCATCACCAGTCTCATTTTCACTAAACACAATGGGAAAAAATACATGAAATTTGACTATTAGAAAACAACAACAAAAAACATTTACTATCTAAAAAAAGGCTTTCTGTGTACAAATTATGAATTTACTTACACAAATATTCTTCTACAAACAAGCCAATATCGTCTTCTATGACGATCATGTCCAATAGAACGATGTCGTAGGTAATATGGAGCATATTCTCTACGAGATACACAGTCTGTTACACCGTGAATCTAAAACAGGGAAATATTTTAAAATGTCGAACATTCAATCGATGGTTTCTTGAAGTAGCAAATGTGCTTACTTGATTAAGTACACACACGGGACAAAGCCATTCGACTTGAGGGACACTCGTTAATGGTGGATTCAGACATGCAAGATGATAGGTTGACGAACAACGATCGCAACATAATAAATCCCCACGTCTAATAAAAGTATTTAAAAAAAAGCAATGAAATTACGAAAAGACATCGGCTTTCAAAATAAGAAGCTCATAACATACGGTACAAAAGTCAAGGGATATTTCTCTAGGTTTCCAGAGCGCTAGAAACTTATATTTTTGTTGGAAAAAGCAAAACCTGAGCTACATAAAGCATATAAATTGAAATTTCGAAGAAACAAGTTTTAGGCAAAAATATTCGAAAAAGAACATTTCAACAACTGTTTTGCAATGTGAAAAAAACTTAATTTTATTGCTGCAGATTTAACGTACAACGTATTTCAAAAACTAAATAGAGGAAAATGTAGCACTTGAAAATCTTTATCGGTTCACTACATTCTAAAATTAGTAGTATTTGTTTTAATTTAGTAAAAAAATTGTTTAGAAAAATCCATTTTTCATCAAAATCCTGTATCTCTAATAGAAATTTGGAGCATTATAAAACTTACTTTTGATCAATGTTGAACATAATAGAATGAAAATTACGCCATTTTATAGAGAATTAAATTTTGAATCAGAAAATATAATGTTAAAACTAGGAGAAAGTTCGTTTTCAAATTATGATTAAGGCAAATTAATAAAGTTTTTACGTTACTATTATTAAGAAAACTAATTATTTCTTAAAATGCTGTTTATAAATTTCTCACAGGTCGAACAATCCTAAAGAAGTTGATAGGTTGTTGAGATCTTTGAAAATGTTGTAAAACAGTTGTTGAGATGTTCTTTTTTTTCGAATATTTTTTACCTAAAATTTCCTTCCTCGAAATTTCAATTTATATGCTTTTTATAGCTCGAATTTTGCTTTTTCCAACAAAAATATAAGTTTCTAGCGCTCTGGAAACCTAGAGAAATATCGTGTGACTTTTTGTACAAAGACCTTTGTACTGTATGTTAATACTATTCTGAAAAGATAGCGGTGAATCATTGAGAGCGATAACTTTTACACGGTTCTTTGTTTCAGAACTTCGAATGGAGAACAAATAACTAAAGTGACTCTTACTTCTGACATTGTCTACAGTTATCATCATGTTGCACGGGTTTATTATCATCAAATTCTTTTCTAATTAGTTTTGTTGTTAAAAATGCATCACATAATGCTGTTAATACTTGTAATTTAATTTCAACGTTCACATATGGATAATATTTTCCATTAACAGGCTGTATTGAATCTAATATGGGTTTAATTGTACGTTTAAGACATGGATCAGTGGTTGAGAATAATTGTAAAATATATGGCCACGTCAAATAATCACAAACATAAAATGTCAAATCAACTAAACCTTTAATGTCTGTTATAGCATAGGTAACAGAATCTTCTTCATCATTTTTAATTAATGACTTTAATAAAGCTATATGAATATCGCATAAGAGAATTGACGAAGTTTCGGCAACTATCGCTAAAGTAAAAGAACCGGAGTGGTGATTTTTTACGCTGGGCTTCTTCTTCCTACGTACATACCGGCGCAGAAATCTTCAAATAAAAAAGGTGTTAAACGTATTTGATTACTGAAATGTCTCAATATTTCATAAACGGTCGAAGCTTGTAATGTTAAATGTCGTTCTAACAGCAAATCATTTGAACTTGATGGTAATTCCAAATAAGGTATATTTTTATTTTCGTCAAAGGGATCAGCATCATAATAATTATCGTTATCTGTTAAACCGGTATCAAAATAATAATTGTCAATGCTTGAACTAACTGTTGTTGGTGAACTTCGATTATCTTCATTATCCCATGATGGCGTTGAATTACTGTAATCAACTGAGTCAGAATAATAGTTTGGTTCAATTGGAGTATTACGCAGGAGTGGCAGTGGCTGTAGTTTTGTTGTTGATGGATGAAATTTTTTTGCAGAAGATAAAAAATTAATATTACGACTTTTTATTGATTTATAACAATTTATTTCACTTTCAACATCTTCTTCTTCATCATCGTTTTGATCAATTGGCTCAGTACTATCAATATCAGCTATATCATCATCAATTTCATTCCAAGTACGTTTTTTGTAACTTGGGAGCAACGGGCGTAATGGACGAATCATTCTTAAGAGAAATATACAACGAATTTATCAGCATTTAAAATTTCCATCTAGCTCTAGAATAAACCTAGAATGAAATCGTGCTACGCACAAATTACAAATATGGTCGAATAAACAGAAAGTTCTCTATTATAAAATATCAGAGCGATCAGAGATTTTCACATTGATTTGTAAATGTTTGTTTAAACTGTCATCCATAAATATAGCATTAGTCCATCATAGCAATTACCTTGCAAAAACAAAGCGAAGTTCTTTTTAAGTTCAGCAAACTTTTGGACTTATAACAGACAAGGGAAACATGCCTATCAATTCAGACACATAGAGTTTTACTGTTTATACTATCTTCAGAAGGTAGTTTCGGAATGGAGAAAATCTGACAACAACGTGGCAGGATAGTGAGAAACGCGGTGAAAACAGTGCAGAGTATATAGAACACTAGAAAAATGCGCGACTTATTACTTATGCGATTAACTTTCGCATCGCATCAAAAAATAGTCTGTGACTGAGTCGATAGACTCCTTGGACAAAAGGCCTTTGCATTGTGCATCGTTTTCGACATCTTGTTTTTGTCCACACGAGCCTTACACTTAACCAATCAATAGTCACATATTTTTTACGCTACAACCTTTTGGATTAAATACTGTGTTTTATCAGATTACGGATATTAAAAAATAATGTTTTTCTAACTTTTAACTGTTTCATAGCTTGTAGATGGCGCTGCAGTATAAATATCGCTTGTATATATACGGTTAAATACTCATCTGCCCACCGCTCTATCTACGGAACACATTAAAAGTGTTCAGTCTACCGCTTGATGTTGCTTTTGAGTGGTAAAGCAAAGTTCAATCGTTCTTGCAACCCTCTACAGCTCGCTTAGCGCTAGAGGGCGTTACACTTCACTTGTCGCCCACGTCGCCCGCCATTCTTGACAGCTTTTCTTTGACCTGACCTCCTTCCGTCAGTTTAGCGGAGGCATTGAGTCGGACGGTTGAATAGAAAAGACGGTTAGTAGTTCATTGTTATCGTATTGTGAGAGTGTTCATTCACCCGTCTCCGAAAATATTATTAAATCTAGAAACGTATACCTTCGCATCTCCGCAAAAAAATCTCTTTAATTCATCTGTTCCTACATAACTAATTGTTTCCAAAAGAAATGGCTGGTGAAGCATCAAAAGATGAATACATAAAACTCAAAGTTGTTGGTAAGTTGTGACAAACAACTTTTTTCATATAACACCTCGCTCTCTCAATCTTTAGGGCAAGATAACTCTGAGGTGCATTTTAAAGTAAAAATGACAACCAGTATGGGAAAATTGAAAAAATCCTATGCCGAACGACAAGGTACGTATTTTCATAACCTGTTTAGGGGTGGGAACAGTTAGAGCCGTTGGAAACGGCGACTGAACGATTCCTTATTTTCGGAAACTTTTTATTTTCGCCATCTATACGACGAGACTGCGTACTATATACAAGAAAGAGAAAAGTGCCAAAAAGTCTTTTACTTTTTAAGTGTAGAAATGCTCCTGCTCAAATAGTTAACTAGAGGCATCCACCGTCAAATACAGTTTCTTGGGAATAGTTGAGTAAAACCAATGTCTCTCTTGCTTATGGTTCTCTGTAAAGATTGTTTTCAACAGAAATATTACAGTGCATTGTCATTCTGTCATTAGAAGGAATAATTCGAAGATGGTCTTGAGTTTTTACTTAATTTCCTGTTTTGTTTTAGGTGTTGGTGTAGCAACGTTAAGGTTTGTATTTGCAAGTATTGCTGGCGCTGTTCGATTCTTTAATAACATGGTATATCTTTTTCTTATTAGATTTTTGTTTGATGGAAAAAGAATAAATGATGATGAGACGCCCAAATTATTGGAAATGGAAGACAACGATGTTATCGAAGTATATCAAGAACAGGCAAGTAAAATTTTCCAGTACTTCTACAGATCAGCCACTTCCCTAGCACTACCATCACTCACCCTCACCGCTACCGCCGCTCAGGGAGGTGGTCGATCTGTAGAAGAACCAATTTTTCTGATCTATTTGCACTGTTTCGCATTAACCTCTTTAATAAACAACTATAAAATTACAGCTGTAGTTAACACAATATAAACTGCAATTTCTCTTTACTTAGTAGCACAGGGACAATTTGTAAGTCTAATTCTCTTATGGAGTGCCAAAAAATTTGAGAACAGTGTGTTGTTTTCTTTTAAATGCTTTTTTTCTTAGAAAAAGGTGATCAGCTTTCACTTTATATGTTTTATTAGTGAGAAATACTCAACCCGAAATATCTTTTTATAAATATAATACTTTTATAGCAAACAGAAAAGTGCATGTACAAGACGTCGTTTTTCACCTTCATGTGACAGCTTGTAAAAGTGCAGTAATCCCATGTTTTGTATATTTCAGGTTGGTGGTAGTACGAAATCCAGTCGATTTATCGAAAAATAAAAACAATTACAGGATATTTTAAAACGCGTTCACATTTATTTTGCATTTTCTTTGTTCTCTTTCTTTTCTTTCGTTCGTTTGTATGTAGTGTGTATGTACGTAAGAAAAAATAAATTCTTTTTTCCTATTCGCGTGTGTGTATGAAACGAAACCTGGCAGTTTTTTTTTGTTCAGAGAAATATTTTGTGTTTTGAACGAATATACAATAAACGAACGTTTATTTTAACAAAAAAAATAAAATGCATAGCATTAGTTATCGTCGTTTTTCGTTCTTATTTTTCACAGGCAATTGCTGGCATGATTTGTTTGGATTTTTTCTTCTGTTTTGTGGTTTGTTTGGATTTTTTCTTGTACTCCATCTGTTCGGCATTGTCATTTTCCCTCAATTCATCAGCACATGGAGTGCGCAATTGTCTGTAAATAACTTTATATTTTGTTGTTATTATTTCTTTCTATTTTTCACTTGTTTCATAAATGAACAAACGTATTCTCGAATAATTAGTTTTAAGTTTTGTGGAACTTAGAGACAACTTTTAGGTTTTCAAGCTCTAATGATTGATCGAATGGAATTTTGGCGAAAGAATCACTTATTATACAATGTATGTCCCGTCGCTGTATGTTAATGTGAACGGCATAGTTATTTATATCGAAACATTCACTTGTTAAGAGTTTAGAAATTTCATTTTCTCGAAAAGTGACATATGTTTCTGCGAGTAGTTCACAATTTTCGCATTTTTGTTATAAAGTTTACAAAAATTTTCATAAATTCGAGAAACAAAAAGGACAGACATTGTCTGCACACATCTTCTCTAGTATTATCATGGATAAATCAATACTTCCGAGATAAATACGCTAGCACAAAACTTACAGGAAAAGTATAATGAAGTATCTTAGGAACCCCAACTTGGGAGAAATATAAATAATAAACTATGAGCTACGTTTTAGAGATCTGAATGACTTTTTTTAAGTTCAAGCGAGATTACCTGATAGACATCACAAATTAGGTTTAAAAAGTTCAATTGGATTTTTTCATACATCTGTAACTTTTGAGCAAGGGGTTATTGACTTCTGGTGTGTGATCTTCATAAATTTTCTAGATCCGTTGCTGAAGAAAAGAATGGTGCTGCTAATACTGCAGTAATGGTTGTTTTTCAGCATAGATAAAAATTTAATGTTATCTATAAATGGTTTTTGGCCAAAGTGGTTTCAGAATTTCGTAAGGCCTCTAAATTAGAAAACTTGTTGAGTTTTGAATGTCTTCTTGTCAAATATCAGGCTGTCTAGCGCGCGCGCAAATTGATGAGTCTGCAGGCACATCATTGTAAAGGGTTAATTTATGCGTTTCTACTGGCCGAACATTTTGACAGATAAGAAAGATTGATTGGGTGGGAATTTCTCTTTCCGAATCTAAGGGACACAGGCCTCTTAGCAACTCCAATCACATTCCTTAACCCAGAGTTAACTCTTATATTGTAGACAAGGCCATACATAATAACAATTCGGTAACATGAACATGCAAATATTAAGTCGATTTTTTCAGTTCTAATAAGATTTATGACTAAAGTTACACACTTTATTATTGCACTTTTTACATTTTCGCAGCTAAAAACAGAGTTCACATGTAGTTTTTAGACTATACTTTTTACTTATACGAGTACCTTATCAGAATTACTGAACTTTGGTCTTCACAAAGTCTTAGAGAACTGCTTCATAAATGATAAATGCCAAGCGCAAATGTGACACAACAAAAGTTTTTGAACGGTGGCTTCTGAATGATTTCCACTCTTTACAAGGATGGGAGCGCATTGGAGGAAGAATCGGTCCGACAAAGACATCCAAATCATATCTTCACTGCTATTTGTTAAAAAATGGCAGACCAAACTTTTATATGGTCCATACTTAATGGGATACAGAGTCAAAAATTTTAATTTTTTTTGTGTACTTAAAAGTCAGGTTGCATCTCAGTTTATATATATTTCGTTAGAGCATGAAATTCTTTTGATCAAACTGAATCTTGTAGCAGTGTTTTTTCCAGAAAAAGGTGGGTAAACCTAGTGAAACTGAGCTGTTGAACAAAATTCAGCTATACAAAAGTAAAATACTCCAGTCTTCCAGTCAAACCCAACATCTATTTTCCTATTATCAGGATTTCCAGAGGTTTTCTAGAGGTCCATCGTAAGAGAATATATTATTTTAGAGCTGTTTTGATACTCTAACTATTCAATCTACTCTTCTGATCGTATCCTGAGAGTTCCAAGCGGTTTGGTTGGGTTTTGAGGAAGACTGAACTATTTTACTTTTGTATAACTGAATTGGTGAACTCAGTTTCACTAGGTTTACTTACCTTTTCCTTAGAAAAAAGCATTACCACAGGATTCAGTATAGTCGATAACCTATGTTTCCCGTGATTTTAGAGGTTATCCGAGGTCACCTAATACCAGTCTAGAGACTCCCGGGAAAACTGATACCACACCTTAAACGCTACAGAGGCTGAACCTAGTGATCAGAATATCATACGTACGGAATTCCAAAGTGAATCGGCCATCTGGTCAAGAATTTCGTGCTCTAACGAAATATATATAAACTGAGATGCAACCTGACTTTTAAGTACACAAAAAAATTAAAATTTTTGACTCTCATTAAGTATGGACCATATAAAAGTTTGGTCTACCATTTTTTAACAAATAGCAGTGAAGATATGATTTGGATGTCTTTCAGTTGAGTTTTTCATCGTCTATCTAGCAGTAGTCGAATAAATCTTATCTATTGCTTCAGTCGAGAGAAATAATTAAATACTAGTTGAATAGGGCAGCAAGATGATGATGGTGGAAAAAAATTATGTCACTCTTTTTTTACTTTTTTCACTCGGGAATGACAGAGAATAATAGAAACGTGACTTTTCTAATAAATTCGGTCATTGAAAATGAAAAAATCCGAGTGGACCGATTCTTCCTTTAATGCGCTCTCGTCCTTTATAATAAATCAAAGTTATTGTCTCGTTTCCTTTGAAACTCGATGGCGGCAATTTTTGACGGTAAGAGTGGATGGCTAGCGGGAGACGAACCAAAAAACGTGTTGCATTATGCTGGCAAAAATAGTCTCACAGAACCCGTAGCACCATCCCAATAAAAATGTTGTTGTTTTGTAACGTCACATTTTTGCTTTCAAACGGCAAACTTCGCATGTTATCCCAGTCGACGGTTGCCCGTCATTTGTTCTTTCCATTGATTGGACAAACATCAATCTTAGATTTTTAAGACGACATAGTATGAAAACGTTTTAACCACGAATTTTGCTATCAAGATATTCGGTTCGTGGAATTTTGATTTCAATCATAAAGAGCTATTTGAAGAAGTTCATATGTTATTTATGGAAAACATGCAGTTCATGCAAATCACAAAATTAGAATATGAGAAGTATTAAATAGCTTTTACAATACAGACCTCTTACTCAAGAACTTCAGATGTGTTACTGTTGATTGCATTTGTTTTAATCTCATAATTGTGCTCCAGAACGAAAAAGGAGGTGAACTACTCCACGAAACATCCATTTTAAAAAATTTCTCAATCCTACCTCTTGCAATAGGAAAGATGATAGAAAGGATTCTTTACCAATTTCTTGCCTGTTAAGATTTTTTTGTCGGGATATGAGTAGTAATAGAATGTTGTTAATCAAACATTTGAGGATCAAAATGTTGATGGAAATATTTCATTTCATTCTAATCCATCGTCGTCGACTAATATGAAATTCACTGATTACTTTTAAATCCAACGATTTTGTTTCAATCATTATACTAAACTATACCTTAGTTGAGTTTTAACGTGTAATTTTCTTTGCCGCATATTCCAAATTTGATTATCCTTGAATGTGTAGGCAGCGTACCCATATCAGTACATTATCTCTGGCATTATAAACCACGGTTATCTTGTTGTTTTAGTAAGAAATCCGAAATTTTATTATTATGACTTCGATAATGAAAACCTTTTGCAAAGTTTTGCATAAACTGTTATTCTTTTCTTTTGTTTAATTTTCGCGAAAATTAAGAGTACTGTCATTGTTAGATAGTTTTATGAAAGATTTAACTACATTTGAAGGTATTGGCAAAGTAACCCATCGTCAGACAAACAGTTGAATTATTTTTGTTATATTCTTTTCAAATGTAAAGCAAATCGCTCACTTTCAACCGAAAAAACCAACAAAAAATAAAAAGAATACATATCATTGAAAATCAGAAACAAATGGTAGCAAAACAAAACACACTTACACACTTTGTATATATACATGAGAGAAGAAAAAACCGTTCAAGTGTTTAGTCGAGAATTTTGAAAATAGGAAAAGAAAGACAATTGTAGTTAGAGGAAGGTCAACAAAAAATTCATAACAATAACCTTTTTAAAAATAACAGAAAACAAGTACATAGCTCACCGATAATTTTTACACATGATGTGTTTGGAAAAAAAACAACTATTCACTACAGCCATAAAAAACGAGATAGGATGATTAGTTAACTGTATCGGCACCTATAGAGATTTCATCTGCATGATGCACACGAATAGTTGGTGTTGTTTGATATTCATTGGTGTAAATTGCTGAACGGTGCTGTCGATGAGTTAGAGATGATACTGATTTTGTTGTAGTTGGTGTCATTTGACTATTCGTTTCGGAATCGGTTCGCATACTTAACGATAACGATGAAGATGAAAAGGATCGCCTTAACGATGACATGCGATCACGTTTTGTACCCAAAAGTTCATTATAAGCAGTTGAATCGAGATCATGAAGTGAATCGGAAGCTTCAATTTGTAAAATTTTTTGAAATAATTTATTATTTCTCAATTCGGAAGCTTTTGGACGCTCTCGAGGGGAATATGACAATAGCCAACGAGTCAAACAACACTAAATTAAATAAATATTTTTATTAATACTATGTCAATAATCGAATACATAAATACAGATGTCAAGTTACCAATGATTTATTTTTCTTTGTATTTTCAAACTCATCTGGAAACTTTGGCTTTTGTGATCGTAAATTTGTGATGGCCTAAAACAATTCAGAATAAGAATGACATCTAACCAATTAGAACAGTCATTTACCTGTATTCTTTCCATTTGTGTCGAAAAAGGGTATAGCAATTCAAATAGGATGATACCCATCGCATATATATCTACTTTTTGGTTATACTGTTCACGATTTATCTAAAGTAGTAAAAGTGACTATATATATTTGTACAGTGAAATATCTTCTGTTAAACTTACTTGTTCTGGACTCATGTACAACATCGTTCCACCCACTTCATCATTTCCAGTAGATATTGTTTCAATTCGAATAGAATTTCGACCTTTTTTCTTATTTGTACCATGTTTATCATCACCAAATGCCGATACAAGGCCAAAATCACCAATCTTCACTGTATCATCCATTGAAAATAATATATTCGACGGTTTTAAATCACGGTGAATCTAATTAAGAAGGTACACAAAAAGATAACTACACGCTAGTGCCGCTTACAAAGAGATAGACAAATTGCTAGTTTAATCAATTTTTGGTTATTTATTAGAATTATTAGGAATGACTGAAAGTGAGTTTTAGAGCAGATTATAACTTACCAATTTTTGTTCATGTATATATTCGATTCCTTTAATAATTTGATAAAAGATGTTCAATGCATGTTGCCGATCAATTTTATGTTTCAATAAACAATCTCTTAACGATTCTGGTTTACATAATTCCATTACAAAATAAAAATAGGTATGTGTTGAAGGTGCTGTGTTTATTGATACTACTGCATGCTCTTCGACCGATTTCTCGCTCGTTACAATCGAGGATTTACTTAAATCAGTTTTATTTTTCTTCTTTTTATCTATATCCAATGCTGAGGATGATTCAAATTCAAATCCATCCGTATCATTTTCTTTATTGGTATTATGATTGTCATCGATTGACAAGCTAGCAGACGATGTTGATGATGACAATGAATGATCAGTATGATCAAATACAGGAGAATAGGAGACAGACGAAGAAGGCGTGGATAAAATGCTATGAGATGATTTTGAACTCCAACTTTTTGTTGTTCGACGATCGCGATGATGACGATTGGTGTTGTTGTTCGCATCAGGTTTTTCCACATGAACTTCGTGTTCATCTTCGGATGTGAAAACATGATCATCGTTGCTATTTTGAATTGCATTTGAAAAACTATTGTTTAATGAAAATTCTTCATGTAAACGTAGAGGATTAGAACGTTCCAATAAATTTTGTGTATTGTCATTGTCATTGGTACCATTTACTTCAACTAAATTCGGCATTTTAAATGAAAATGATTGAATATTATCACTATCCATCGTTGACTGAATACCACCAGTTGGAAAACTGACTGAACCCCTGAATATAAACAAAAAAACTATGTATAAGTTTATACACATTTTTCGTGTGCTTAATCGAAATGTACCTTGTTGTTTGATTTTTCGCCATTAAACGTTTATCTTCTTCATCTTGCCATGAAATAGGTGCTGTCTCATTCCATGCATAATAATATTGAATTATATTTGGATGATTTAATACAGCTAAACAGCGGATTTCTTTCTGTGCACGTTCTTTTCCATTCTCTCTAAAATAGTGCCAAACGAAAGCTTTTCATGTTTTACGCAGATTTCTGATTTTGATCTCCACATTACTTTTTCAGTGCAACACGTTTAATTGCCACTTTTCTCTCATCCAATTTGTTAATAGCCTCAAACACCTAAAATATGATCAAATAAATAATGATAGGTCAGCAAGATAAAATTCAAGATCTTTACTACTGGATGAACACATTATAAGAGATTTTAAAATCTAAAAAAATTTGATATTATTATCGCGTTACTTACAATTCCAAATCCACCCTTTCCAAGAAATCGTACGTGCTCAAATTCTAAAGAATATCTTAAGAGAAAAAATCAAATATTAATAATCGTTTTTTTTCGTTCAACACTCTCAGTAGATTATACCGTGATCTGAATGTATCTTTATCTTGATTTTCTTCCGATGTAGCTGCCATGTTCGATGGCGGTGAGGTTGTTTGCAGCAAAATTGTTGACGTTACTTGGTTATTCTCAGTGGAATGGTTCACAATTGTCTCAGATGTTTGATCTTCTGTCGCCGTATTAGTAGATGGCGAACGTCGGAAATATTTATTCCAAATTGAGTGTCTAAGCCAAAAATGATAGACAGTTACTAGTGAATCAAATAGTTAGCGTAAGCTTGGGTAATTCCTGACAGCCTCTTTAATTTTCACAGTATTTTGAGCGTACCTGAAGTATTTTTACTCGGGAAAAGCGACACTTCGCAGGTGGATAGACCGAACATTTCTCTATCTACTAATGTAAAAATCTTGTTAAAGTTCAATAAGATTAATTAGTACTCATCAATTTCCAGAGAGCTTCTATCAAATGTTCATAATTATCCCATTTGGGGTAATGAAAATGAATTCTGCAAATGAATTAGATGATGGGATTGGAAAAAAACAAAATTGAATTTTTTCAACTGCGATACTGGTGAATGCGTATGTGAAAACAAATAAGTCCATAGATAATCTGGATAAACATGTTTTGTCCTCTCGTATAGTCAGGTATATCTGGCATGCAGACAGTTTGCCACATATGAAAAAGCACTAAACGCTAAAGGTATATTATTAACAGTGGGAAGTCTATTGAAGACAGTAAGCAGAAAAAATCCATATAGATTTTCGCGAGACAAATCTCGAAATGTGCGACTATGACCATTACCAAGGGAGATTTGGTAACTCTGATAGAAACTAACATCTAGGAAAAGTTAGAGCTTTCATGTGTCCTCGGAGAAAATAAAATTTTAAGATTTCAGGTTGTACTTCCGTATATATGAATCACCGTTCAGCCAGATCAGGATGTGTGATTAAACCATCCGTTGAGCACTCAATAATGAGACTATTCTCTCAAAAAACAATATTCCGTAAGAGAAACTTTTTTAAAAACTATCGTCATTTTTGAGTCGGATAATCTCTTAAAAATGAATCCCTCCTGAAGGAGACATTCTCTTAAATATTAAATATGGACGTGGGATATTGTTGACTACCCTCCGTTTTGTCGAATATTTTCTTGAGTATTCCATTGCATATTCTCCTAAAATCTGTACTAATTTACTGTTAAAGGTTTTTCGAATTATTTTTAAACATCATAACTAATACTGTAGCTCATAAAAGATACGCTGATAAACTTGTTTAAGCCGTTTTAGTGCCTTACCTGTCTCTCACTACAAATGTAAGTATAATAATGATAACGGCAATCACCGCTGTTGATATCGATATTGTTTTCGTCCATTTGTGCCTATCATTCTGATAGTCATCATCATCATCTCTTCCATTATGGAACAGAAATGATAAAACATTCGTCGGTGGTTTTTGTTCGCTATCTTTTTGAAGTAGAGTGAAATAGCCGGCGTTATCACACGATTCCTCTTGAGGTAAATCTTGATCGCCTCGTTGCTGTTTCTCTTGTCTTAGCGCTAGAGCATATTTCCAATTATGTTGACCGTCATATGTTGATAAATCATTATCATTGTTATTATGACGAACCCATGTAGATAGATCAGATCTCGGATGTTTATCGTTTGACATATCGAGTACAGTTCGTTTTTCGTTCTCTTTTCTCCATGGTAATAAACGAGGACCTCGATGAGTATTTACTACAAGAAAACATTAAATGAGACATATAAACATATTGTCTCATTTGTTCAACACAAACGCTTACTTTTATTTCTCATAGCCAGATGTATAAGTTCATTTTGCAAGTGGGGGGAGACTAAAACGTACGGCGTTGAATTAAATTCACCTACAAATGCTGAACGCCGATTCATATCATAAGCTAGAAAAAGAGAGAGAAAATTTATTATTCTGAAAATATTAAATTTTTTGCACATTTCAGTTATTTATACCTTGATTTTCTCTATTATCATTCGAATGTCTCTCATCTTCATGTTCAACGTTAAATAAACTAAAAAAATACTACCACATTAAGTTCCTATTATCACACCACTTCTACTTTAAAATATTCAAACTTACTCATTTTGATACAATTGTCCATTTTTCATTTCCCAAACAGCTGCTATTGGAACATTCAATATTTTTGACCAAACCAGTTCATTATTATGATGATGATACGCATTTATCACTCCTGTTTGTAGTTGATATTTGAAATAACCTTAACAACCAATTATTAGTTTTTTCATCAGAGAACAGTTGTTTTAACATACCTTGAAATACGGAATCGCTTTCAATTTGTGGAATATTTTCGTTCAAACGATTGTGAAGCATACGACTTGGTTCGTTACGAATGGGTTTTTCCAATTTTGCATCATGACTTTTAATTGATAATAATTCATTGTTGGAAACACTAAACAGCAAAATAACGTTATAGTAAATTAGACCGATAATTCATTAGTATTATACCTGAAATTCCATTTTTCATGTCCACTTCTTACACTAACAGCACGAACCGTTTGTGTTGTACGTCTAATAACTAAGAGTGGATCATAGCTACTATATTCGTTATCGAGAGTTTCAGTTTTATTTTCATAATGTGTTGAACCATGCAGTGATGAAGTCATATATAAAATCTAAAAATCAAAAATCAAGTAACAAAAAAGTGCTTGTTAACCCGTAAAAGCTTTCATTAATTTGAATGTTTCCTTTCATATATTTTCATCTTACTCTTCCTGTGTGAACGTTTAACCCCAATGTTTCGATATGTTTTCCACCCACAATAACAGAATCATCATCCAGTCGAAATGAGGCACTTAATAGGGAGTCAGCACTAAAATATAAAACAAGTTAGAGTTACTTTATTAAATTATTTAATAAAGTAACATCATATTTTTCTTACCTAAAGGGTAAGGGTTCAACATGTCCATCTGGATATCGTTCATATAAACCGCCTGATAACGATGGAATAAGACGAACTGATATTGCATCACGAAGTATCTACAACAAAATAAAGAAACATTTTTCGAAACTTTGCACTACTTCAAATTCTGAATATTTTTCTTCAGGTTACCTCTAGTTTACTTAAACTTGAATCGACCAACGCTGATCCAGTATCAATCGTCCACAATACTCTACCATAATTATTTGCATCAATGGCAGTTAATTTTCCGTCAAGTGAACTAACATATAACGCGTGGCTAAAGTAAAAAAATATCAAAGGAACCTTTGCTATAAATTTCTGTCAACGTATTCAATCGCGCTTCGTTTTCAATATTTCATTATGCAAACATACCTGACATTAGAACTTTCATTATTTATTGCTTGAAGCGTATCGATTTGTTTATTATTAATATGAAAGGAATTATAAAACTCTTGAATATCACGCGGGCCCAGTTTGGCAACTGTTTTATCATAATTTTGTATTTCTTCTATTTCTTCTTCGATATCATCGGTGACTGCTGATGATTCAAATGGAATAGAAGGATGTTTAGCGAAACAAAGAAGCGGACAAAATACAAAAAAACCGAACAACGCAAGAGGCAGTAGATGTTGAATCAAAGCTGTTCTCAAGAAAGATCGTTGTCGGCTGCATTGCCTTTCATACATGAGAAAAAATAGACATCTAGAAAGTCAGTTTAGTTTATAAGTAGATTTTTTTAATTTAACAACCAAACTTTAACCTGTGTATTTTAATATCATATCATATTCTGCTCTTCCATCTTATTTTCTGCACTACTTTTTTCTTTCCTTTTCTGTGTGTTTCATTACAGTCATGTTTGTTTTGTTTGATCAGCCGATATGGCGTGCCACGCACTCCATTCTTCACTTAACCTTCATGATAAAGCATATGATTCGTACTTCTCAAACTCAGTTAAAATCTACCATTACTCCTCTCCCAGAAAAAAATTTCCACGTGGGGCAAAAACTTAGCTCGATCGCATGTTTGAAAATTAGTAGAAGAACCCATGTGGTAAATGTCGGCTGAAAATCGATGATATAGCGCGACATCGCAGCCGACATGTGGGTCGATATATCGCGAGAACTCGTCGACTTATTGCCGATTGTTTAGCATTTGAGACGACAAGTCGCGACATATCAACGATTGTTTTGTTTCGTTCCTTGTAATTCACAGATACCAGATTTAAAAAAGGCACCAGTAAAAAAAGTATGTTTTCCGTCAAACTCGGTGCTTATTATATACCCAGGTGAAACACGTCTTGTAAGACCTTGCAAGATCTGATGTATTTGATTCACTGTAAAACAAAACGGTGAATGAATGGAAAGCCCATTAGCCGTCGACTCGAGCGACTTTTTAAAAAATTCAAAATCGACGAAAAATTGCGATATTATAAAAAATCGACGACTTCTCACGACTAATCGGCGACTTTTAAGAAAATCGCGATATGCTGTCGTTGTATCGCTACAGGTCATCAAAATTCAAGCGACTTCATATATAAAGTCTACTAGATTTAGAGCGCATGTAGTTCAAGCTAATGTATCGAATATCTATCAAACTAATTGATCATATTATCACAGTGAATCTAGGATACTTCAGACAGAAGGCGACTGTTACAAGAGAAGATCTGCTCGAGGTAGTATAAGTCAATTTTTCGCCGAGTTCTGCTGGATAACATTGAAAAAAATTTACAGAAGAAGTGTAGCCCATTCCGGCTCTCTTTCGAGCTCCGCTTCTGTATTATTATCGAAATGATGACAGTGCTTGCAAATTCCACCCAACTTGACTTTCTTGCTTCATTTTCGACGCAGACGGGGTTCTCACTCCGCGATCGCCAAAACGTCGTAGTCCGATCGCGATGAACTCTAAATTTGTAACTCGCGATCGTGACGCGATAGTTTTTTCTTACAACGATCGCGAAGTCGCGTGAAGATAATTGTTTTATATAACTTTCAAAATCACGTTTTTCTCTTACAATCGCGATATGATATAGGGTCACGGTACGGTTCTCGTGCAAATCTATTGGCCGTTTTTTATTTTAGATCCCTATTATATAACTCCCACCCTAGTCCAACATCTTGAAACCAAGATCTTGCCCAAGATCTTACGTTAAGATTTGGCACTAGATCTTGAAAAAATGCGTACAAGATCTCAGGACATTTTTGTACCCAAGATCTTACGCAAGACCTTGGGTACAGATATTTCTTGATATCTTGTACCCAGGATCTTGAACATTTGAAAAACCGTCATATTTCAAAACTAACTTTTTTTCTTTGCATTTTTTCAACAAGTGTTGGAAACAAAAGAAATTTGCCGCTCAGTGGTGAACATTTCATCCGCTAGGATGAACGATCCCTAATGCCTCCCTCATGGAGTTTTGACTCTGCTGTCGACGAAAACATAGTAACATTAGACACAAAATAGAATGTTCATATATGATGACATCGCCAAAATAAGACGGTGAATGATAATCAATGGTTACTCAAAGATCTTTTGTACAAGATGTCAAAATATTTCTGTATCAAAGATCTTGAGCCATGATCTTGGGTACAAGTCATTTTACAATCAAGATCTTGGATACAAGATAATTTTTAGGATTTTGTACGCAAGATCATGGGCAAGATCTGAGGAACAAAAACATCTTGACATCCTGTACCAAAGATCTTGCCAAGATCTTTCCGAAAAAATCTAAGATGTCAAGATCTTGGTTCCAAGATGTTCGACTAGGGCACTAATTTTCAAATAATTTTGAAAATCTTGTCACATCTTAATAATTGATCACTGTAGGATCGATCAACGGCAGTCTGATTCTTGATTGTAATTGGCAAAGTTATAATTATGAGAAAAAGAACTGGATAAGAGTGTTAGTCGAAGAAAAGCAATCCCGCTTTCACTAATGTAGTCTCGAGTAGTCGCGTCACGAGTTCGTGATAGGAGTAGTGTGACTCATTTATTATCAATGGACAAAAAACGAGAATAAATAGCGATCGCGGTAGAATATCCGAGAGTCAAGATCGATTTTTTATATGAGCGCAAGAAAATCGCGTCTTATTTCGCGAGTTAGTTGATAACGTTCGTTTATTTACTCTTTATGTTTAAATGTGGAAAAAATGATTTTTATCGATGTTCCCTAGTGAATGTACTCAAGTGTGAGTACTCAGATGCGCACTCATATTGAACAATGCAAGAAGTACACATGAGTACTCACATATTTTTTTACTCAGTGAGTACTGATGAGTGAGTAATTGGTACTATGGATACGACTTTAAGTATCCATGTTTGAATATTGTTGAGTAATCATATAACTTTTGGCAAAATAGTCATCAGTATTGTTTATGTGATATTTTCACCTAGAGGAGTGATCTCAGACAGCTAGAGTTGGACTACAAATCTATTCACAGACGAGTCCATCTCTAACTATATACAGAGAAACCAGCGAGAAAAATATAATACAAATATTCTATATTTCTTTACTAAATTCTATATTCTTTATACAGTTTCATTCTTGAAAAATAAAACGGTGAATGAATATTTTCTGAGTAAAAATACTCAAAAATTGTTAGTAGATATATGAGTTTTTGTCAACATATATGAGTTTATTGCAATGTTTATTAATTTTTCTACTTTTATCGATATATCGCTTTTTTTCTACATTTGAAACTGTATAAAATTTTTTGTCCTCATCAGTTCCCGATATAGTTTCAGCTAAAATTGTGATGATAGGATTTTATAAAATATCATACTAATCTACAATAGGAACCCCATGGGTTCATATGACGCAGGACGTCAAAAACGATGTAATTAATTGTCTATTAAATGCCAGTTAATAACTAATCAAATAGTCATTAAATGGTCATTTGTACACCTTATAAATGGGGACGTTTTAATGCTATTTTTTAACAGGGTGTAAACTGTTCGAAAATAGCACGTTAATAGCATCATGTAATGGCCGTTTTTACACCATTACTGGCTCTTAACGGTCAATTATCGAACTTTTTCTTTGATTAAGTTTTTTTATTAGTACTCCAAATATATTGATTGCCAAAATTTCTGACATTTTTGGTTCCTTAGATCCACGGTGCCATCAATGACACCAGATCCAGAACCATCAACGACTTCCACTAGACAAGTTTCGATGATACGTACAATCGGGGAGGAGAAAAGGTTGCAAGTTTCTTCCAAATTTCAGTTATACATAGATATATCATATACTAGTGATGATTGCACAATAAAAGGGTGAATGAAACAGCCATTTTAAATGTCGGTTTTTTCGCTGTATATTTTGCAATTGAAGAATTGCCTGTTAATAGCCATTTAATTGTGACAGTTATTTTAAATGCCACGGTTAAATGCCTGTTTTATAACAGCCAAATTAGCCGTTATAACAACCAAAACATTTACAGTAAACGATGACTGTTAACTGCCTTGTTTTCAACATTTTGTGGTATGTTAAATACCTTTTCTCGAGCCTTTATTAGCAATCACATAACAGACAATAAACTGACTGTTATCTGGCAGTTTTTTAACAGTTATTTGATATGAGTATCAAAAGCCCGTTTTTTTACATATACGTACATACATTTAAAACGCATTACATGGCTTATTAAAGGCCAGTTAAGTTTCACCTATCGATATTCTAACAAGATTGTTTGACCCGGATGTTAGTGATAAAAATCCTTCTCAAATGCGAAGTCTAGCTCAGGCCTTCCATTCGACTTCATAACCACGCAGTTGTATATTATTTTCTATGTGTCCATGTCAAATACGTCCAATCGGATTCGACTTGATTGCAAATTTCAGCGGAAACTCCCGAATCTGACATAGATCCGACAATCCCAAGTAAAAAATCTTGACTGCAGATCTTGATAAAAACTTGAAAGATTTCGGAAGTTTCTGTTCAGTTCTTTCAAGATCTTATGCAGATTTATCGATATCTGTCAAGATTCTGAGATCATCTTGCA